AAAAAAAAAAAAAATATAAAATGTTCCAATTAATTTTAAAAAATAAATAATATATCCATATTATTTTAAAATTTAAAATTTTATTTTTATATTAGATAAAACGTCTAACTATAGTTTTAAATGTTAGAGGCTTTATCCAATTATAATAACGAAATTCAAACATTATTAGTTATTTGACAAAAAAAATCAAATATAAATTTTTTATTATAATTTCATGTAAATAAATAAATGTTTTATTACATTAATTGATTTTAATTAAGTAATGGTGTTAGTTAACTCACTTTTAACTGTTTTATTACATTAATTGATTTAGGTTAACTTATTTTTATTCGGTAAAAATATGCCTTAAATTTTAGGTTTTTGAATTTATTTAGTAATAGATAATTATTTTTAAATAAAAGTATATAAATTTTAAGGGTAAATAATTAGTACAATAATTATATTAAAAAATTAATTATACATATTATATTTTAAAAAAATTAAGTATGGTATCAATTATAATTAAATATAGATAAAATAAACCTATGTCTATATTTTCTCATGTTGATAGTAGATCATATAAATACAAGATATTGAATCTTATAAAATTTATATAGTTTTAATAAACTATTAAAAAAATAAAAAAAATACTTTAAATAATAATCTATTATTTAAAAAATCATAATTAATATTTAATTTGTGAGTAATTAATTAGAGTGATTATCCTTACTGTAATTAATAATATTTATAGTTAATTGATTAACCATATTAATTAAATGAATTAATATTTTCATGATTGGTTTTATAATGGTAGATTATTTAATAAATTAATTTCAATAAATATAAATAAATTGATTGATTATAAATTATTTCATTTAAGTAATTATATATATATATAGTTTAATACATTAAAAATCAACCTAACCTCTCGGCTTAATTGAAACATAATCTTAACTAAATGGTCAAATGTTCATATTGTCGTTTCTCGTATTTTTTAATTAAGAGTATATTTGAACGTGATCTTAAAATTACTAAAACCACTTTCATCGGGCGAGTTTTTCTTGGTTCAATTAAAAAAAAATCAAAAGATTACTATTATTTATTGGTTTAGGTTGTGTAAAAGTCCAAGTCCACAGCTTTAGCTCGTTACGGATCATCTTCAGCCTCACGGTTTGTGATCACACAATCTTCCCTCTAGGGAGGCCTAACGTCCTCGTTGGCACATCGACCAATGTCTGACTTTGATACCATTTGTAACCGTCCAAGCCTACCATTAGTAGATATTGTCTTTTTTGGCTCATTATATATTAACATCACTCTCACAGTTTTAAAAACACATCCAATTGGGAGATGTTTCCATACTCTTATAAAGAATGATTTATTATCCTCTCCAACCGATGTGGGATCGTTTATATGACTCAATGACTTGAACAATCTGTTCTACTTAACATGAATCATAAGGGTTAGATTTTGTTTTTAAAATTCATTCGAGATAGGTTGAATTTTAATTTTTTTTTCATTGGGACAACTCGACCGACCTGTATGAACATATTTAATTCAACCTAACTCACCAAAGAAGTTAAAATATTTAATTTTTACAGTAGGTTATTTTAACCGTAGGTTTTAGTGATGTGTGGGGAATATGATAATTTAATTATTAATGCAATTTATATTTTAGATATAATATGATCCATTTAAATAATTAAAATAATGTGGAAGAATTTCTATAACATGCAGCCATAATCCCCGCTAGGGAAGAATGGCGGCAAACTGAATCCTTAGCTATTTAGCTTCCACACTCATCTCTTTCCTATTTCATTTTGTTGAACCAGAGGTAGCATCTGCGAGCAATGGCGTCCTGGAATTCTACTGGAATTGATGAAGATCAGGTCTCGCTCTCTTTCTCTTCATCTCTATTTATCGTGCTTATACAGATTGAACAATGGCCGTTTTTCTGAAGCTATTGAAATCCATGTCGAACTCTGCTAGAATTTGTAATTTCATTAGCTTTTAAGTGATTAGAGTTTTCTCACGAAGCAGATGGATAATCCGTTATCACAGTGAAGCTCTTTTGACGTTTGTTGTTTACGTTTGTTCGTTAGCTGTAACTTTAAGTAAAGGAGGCTATAGATACTGAAATTTTTCTGAGAACTTAGAATCGTCGTACAAAATATGGTGCTTATTAGCTTAGTTGTTTTCTATCTACACGCACGATTTTAAATAGAGATGTTGATGATCATACATTTTTCAGATGTTAATTTCTTGGCAGCAGGTTTTAGTGGAAGAGAAGCGGTTTGCGAGGATATTGACTTTAAACAGACCTAAGCAGTTAAATGCTATCTCATTCACAATGGTGAGGCTTGCGATATCTCCACTTTAAGCGTAGTCTCGTGATTTATTGACGTTAATTTATCTAAGTTCGAGAAAATTGTCGGTCTATTTGTTCCTTCAGTCATGGATTAGCAATAATTGGACTATCTGGTCCTTGCTGGTTAACAAATTATATTCCATAAGCACCTAATTCTTGGGCTCAAGAACTCTGTATCTTGTTATTTACAAGCATTATGTGTCCCAATGTGAGTTTTGACAAGCCTGATGCCTCGTGGTTTAAAATTCTATCTCCAAGATTTGGGTAGAATCGACAAAGCAATGGGAGTGTTCATAACTGAGAACTAGATAAACGCTCTGTTTAGTGTTTTTCTTTTATCATTCAATCCAGGTTTCTCGGCTATTGGAACTCTTTTCTTCCTATGAGACAGATCCCTGTGTGAAACTTGTGGTTGTCAAGGTAAATCTCCATCAACAATTTTTATATATTGCTGTCATGTCCATTTTATCTTATTGTTCACCTACTGCTTCAATCGTTATCTTGTTCAAATGGAATTGTTCAATTACCTTAATGGAAAATATTGGAGGCGAAAGCATGACACTTGAAAAGGGATCCTGTCCATGCCATGTTTTAAACCTTAACTAACCATGTCACCATGAATTTTTCGGAAGACGAGTGTTATTTATTATTTATTTTTTAATTTCATACTTAGCTGTGTAAAGTTCTCATCTTATCAATTTCAATACTAAATTCAAACAAGTGGGATCTTCATATTTTATCAAAACCAAGTAATAAAATTACCCAGATCGCCCAACATTTAGCCCACATAGCATGCAAATCCAGTCACAAAAACAGTCTAAAATGAAGTTTCCCTCGTTATCATTATCCTTGTTGGTTTTCTTTGGGTTTCTTTGCATCCCACCTTTGTAGGTAAGAATGAGAATGATGATTTGATGAATTATATTCTAGGTGATGAGTTGGTTTATTATGATAGTCCGTAGAATGATCAATTAATGCTAGAAAATGCTGTTATTACACAGTATTATGAAGGCTACTGATGTAAATGACAATATCAAGGGCATGATCATTTGTTCTGTTTTCTATGAAGCATTTGGTCGCAGTTATATTTAACCGTTTCCCTCTTCTTATGATTCTCATTGTATTTACTGATAATAAATAATTTGTGAATTATTAGGGTAAAGGAAGAGCATTTTGTGCTGGGGGTGATGTATCGGCTGTGGCTCATGCCATTAAAGAGAGTAAGTTTCTCTTTACAGCACAATCCACAGCGTCAATTAATCCCGAGCACCTAATGGATGCTTGAGACAGAGGATTTTACATTTGTTTTACATGCTGGTTTTTACATGTCTGTCATCTAGTCTAGGATAGCTGTGCAGAAGTTAACTTGATAATACACAACAGCATTTATATTTAGCTAATCATAATCCTGGTTTCTGTGAGTTAGGTGAATGGAGGAAAGGTGCTCACTTCTTCCGGAAACAATACACCTTAAATTATTTGTTGGCAACTTCCAGTAAGCCACAGGTAATTTTGGTTGCTGAAGTTCTGGTCGTTTTAGTCTATAATGACTTTTACTTGATATTATGTTTAACTTCCATTGATTGCTTGAATATTTTTCAAGGTTTCTCTTCTGAATGGTATTGTCATGGGAGGAGGAGCTGGTGTTTCAATACATGGTAGATTCCGTGTTGCAACAGAGAAATCGGTATATTATCTAACTGAAGCTCTGAACTTTTGGTCCTTGAATTATTGATCTAGTGCCCACCTTTTACAGTTTAAATTTAGAAGTTTGAATAGGTTATTCTTCACCCTCATTTTTATTTATCTTTTAAGTAGCGAAATTTGGAACTTGGATAATATCTTCAATTTTTGGCTTTCCTAAGATATTTTACTTGCTTCTTCATTGGAATAATATTTAGTAAGTAAGCTGCAAAAAGAGTGTTCTTTTTCTCTCTTTCTTTTCTAAAGAGCTGCTAATTTAGCTCTTTAAAGAATTTCGTGTTAGGGACAAGAAGTAGAGCTTTAGAAGTTTGTAGAATGCTTGGAAGAGTGGTTTTGTTTTTTTTTTTTCATTGTGTAGATTTAGAAATTTAAGGATGTCGAAATATCATTCTAATCTGGTACTTATATACTGTAGGTGGAGTTTGTTTCTGTTTCTTCCATTCTTCAATCTCATTAGGAAAAAGGGAATACATTAATATGGCAACTTACCTTTTGCAGATTTTTGCAATGCCCGAAACTTCTTTAGGACACTTCCCAGATGTTGGTGCTTCTTATTACTTGCCTAGACTCCGGGGATTTTTTGGTATTACTAATTATCCTAACCTAGACACTCCTTTTTCCAGTGTGTAAGTGTATGTATTTTTTAATACTGAGCCTTAGTAGACATGCACATCAAAGCATACACTATGGATAATTTTACTTACTGACCAAACAAAGCAAGCATCCTCCTCAGATGAGCTCGTGGCTTAGTCAAGTTGAACCAAGTTGCATTTGTGTCCCCACTTTCCTCTTGAGATTCATTTTGGCTATAGCTAGGTACAGAATGATCCAGCAATAAAGTATTTCTTTGTCAACTTGAAGTTGAAGTGAGAAGAGAATGAAAGGGATAGGTTCCATTGGCAAGTACAAATTGATCATTAACCTCGAAAGAGGCATCAGTTAAGTTGCCTCAATATCCAAATTCAACTTGTTCCTTGGTTCCAGTCAGAGACCGCAGTGGCTTCTCTTGTTCTTTCAACCATTTTTCCATTTCAATTATGGTGTAGAGAAGAAATCATTATTCGCCCTCTGCTATTATCTTTTCAACCTCCATTTGATTCCAGTATAGAGAATGACAATTGTAGTTCACTGGTTTAATTGAATGCTTGATTTTTAGGGATGACTTCTTATGTTGCTCGAACCAGCTGGAATATAGAGGAAATGAACAGACTTTATCTTGGCTAGGAGCATGTCCAATTCTCCACCCTATCCTAAAATATTTTTCATCTAATGGTTAATGTAGCGAAAATTCCTTGTGCTTGGAGGTACTCTATTTATTATGTCTTATTCTTTTGCTAAAACTTCTGCAGGCGAATATGTTGGCCTAACAGGCGCCAGGTTGGATGCTGCTGAAATGCTTGCATGTGGCCTTGCTACTCACTTTGTCCCTTCAGAGGTATACTAACTCCTAAATTTCTATGATGCTCAAATGTTTAGCAGCAAAAAAGAAAGATATCCCCTATTTAGGTGAAGAACTGTTTCAAGAAGTTATAATATTGTATATGTTTTTTGACAACATATGTCATAGATTACAAGGTGGTTGTTTCCTAGCATTAGTTGAGGTATATATCAGACATTTGATACCTTTGGTTATTTCAAAGATAAAAATGGTTGACTGCTTGGAGATAATAATTTGCAGTTATACCATTTTTTATTTGATTTATACCATATTATGTACGTGGGATGTGTTCCTCAGTACCCTACATCTCAGGTGTTTTCTCTTAATCTCGAGCTTCTAGTATTTTATTTAAGAGAGAATAACTTCCTCTTCCTTTTTGTTACTCCAATCAATGACCAGAGATTAACGCAATTAGAGGAAGCGCTATGCAGAGCAGATACAAGTCAACCAAGCATCATCTCTGCAATAATTGATAAATTCTCCCAGACACCAATTCTTCACGAGCAAAGTGCTTATAACCGGTGTGACTCCATCTTTGATTTATTGTTTTTTCCTTGTGCGCTAGTACCAAATTTTCTTAATGCACAAATTCTAGGCAATGATTTATCACTTTGAATATTTATATTTATAGTGTTTCCTATCAAAATCCTTTTGAGCTGAGTGATGTCCTATTGAGCTCTTCCTAGTTAAAATTTTGTATTTGTATAAATTACAAAAGAACATTTTATTCCCACCTTTTCTAAAACTACCATCCACCTAAAAGTAATCAATCCCTTCACACTATTATTGTAATATATCTTCATCTTTCCAACTTGTTAAATTTGACAGATTTAGAAGTTCAATTTTAAAGAAAATGTGGTTCTCAAACGCAGTGAACTTCCGTGTTGTAACAGGTTGGATGTTATTGATAAGTGCTTCTCCCGAAGAACAGTAGAAGACATTTTGGCTGCTCTTGTAAGCTGATGTGGAGAACACAACATCTACTTGCCGCTTGTGTTCTTTATAATTTGACTCGCATTTTCTTATTTTTCTTGTAGTTCTTTGGATATTGCATGAGCATGGTCATTGGAGGGATCGTTCCATTTAACCAATTGTAATCTGATGCTTTGCTCTTGTAGGAAGAGGAGGCCCTGAAAAAGAAAGATAATTGGATAAATTCAACAATTCGAGACTTGAAGAAGGCATCACCAACAAGTCTTAAAATCTCTTTGAGATCGGTGTGTAACAATTCTAACAAGTTTCGAACGGTCTCTTTCTTTGAAGGACTGCTGAACAGGATATGAATTTTGATGATTGACAGCCTTAGTTATTGGGATTCCTTCATCACACATGTGCGGGCAACTGCTGTCACATTTTTTTTTGGTGAAAGTGGTTGTTAGGTTGATTACACCATTTAGAGTCTTAGATCTATTGAGGATTGTTGGGAGGGAGTCCTACATTGACTAATTTAGGAAATGATCATGGGTTTATAAGTAAGGAATACATCTTCATTGGTATGAGGCTTTTTGGGGAAGCCCAAATCAAAGTCACGAGAGCTTATACTCAAATTGGACCATATCATACCATTGTGGAGATTCGTAATTCCTAAAAAGGTCTATGCCTCCTCGATAAAACTAGAAAATATCAGAGTGATGTACAAGTATGGGGCATGACAGGGAAATCCTTGAAGGAAAAATGCCAAGGGGGAGTGAAAAAAAAAAAAAAAAAACATTCAAATTGGGACAAACAACAAATCCATTGAGTAGTTTTGAGATGATTTAGCTACAGCATTCCAAGAGAAAGCAATAAGAAGAACTAACTGCCAAATATCTTGTGATCTTTAATTTCTCTAAAACATTCTCTCCTCTTTCTTGCCACCAAAATTTTGAAATTTATATCAATGAACTTAATATGGTCTTTTTCTGGAATGACAGATAAGAAAAGGCAGACTTCAAGATGCTGGTCAGTGTCTCATTCGTGAGTATAGAATGGCTTGTCATGTCATGCGAGGGGAAGTCAGCGAAGATTTCATTGAGGTCTTCCACTGACTGTTTTATCTCCACATTTTTTACATTTTTTTGTGAGAACCCACATCGGTTGAAGAGGAGAACGAAACATTCTTTATAAGAGTATGGAAACCCCTCCCTAACATATGTGTTTTAAAAACCTTGAGGGGAAGACCGGAAGGGAAAACCCAAAAAGGACAATATCTACTAGCGGTGGATTCGGGCGGTTATAAATGATATCAGAGCCAGACACCGGGCGATGTGCTAACGAGGAGGTTGAGCCACGAAGGGGGGTGGACAAAAGGCGATTGTGAGATCCCACATCGGTTGGGGAGGAAAACAAAACATCGTTTATAAGGGTGTGGAAACCTCTTCCTAGCAGACACGTTTTAAAAACCTTGTGGGAAGCCTAGAAGGGAAAGTCCAAAGAGGACAATATCTGCTAGCGATGGACTTAGGCTGTTATATTTCTATTATCTACTCGAGATCATGATGCCGTTTCATTAAATGTAGGGTTGTAGAGCTTTACTGTTGGATAAAGATCGGAACCCAAAGGTATATTTTGGGTGTAGACATCTACATCTTCGACATCTCTTGCTTGTTATTCGGGATTCTCGAATGTACATTCTTAAAAGTTTATCCAACCTTCATCTGATCTCATCCTTTATATTCTTCTTTAGTGGGAACCCTCAAAGCTGGGGCTTGTCACTGATGCAATGGTTGAGAGGTACTTCTCTAGGATTGAAGACGAAGAGTGGGAAGACCTAAAGCTCCCTGCAAGACTCAACTTGTCTGCTTCAGCCACTTCAAAGCTCTAGTTACCATGAGTTTGCAACTTACTCAGTTAATATATATTAGTACTTTGCTAGTTGTTTATGTCTATACATGGTGGTGGGTAAGACTGTTGGAAATAAGCCTTCCTCAATGAGGAATCAATAGTTGATTTAATGTATTCTAAAATCAATGAACATACGTAAAATAATGTATTCATAATAAAATTTCAATTTTACACCATGCTATAGATGATAACATTGTCCTTTGTTATTTCTTGTAAACCTATTTTCTATTGACGCAGGAGGGAAGGAAATATCACATCATCCATCCACAGATACCGCTTAAGCTGTGATAAAGGTATTCTAAATTTTCTACCGAGCATTATGGATTGCACATTCCTTTCAACTTCAAACATCAATGAAATTTTATTACGTTGAGGGAATGACCTTAATTACATCTGTGTGATTATTAGAGATATTTGTGTAACCTCATTAAATAAGAAAAATAGTTAGACTTCCCTAATTTATTTGTAACCTCATTACCTAGTATCAAGAGATTTAGTTAGCCTTTTTGTAGTATTAAACACACGTTTATCTCTCTGAAAAATTAAAAAGAAATGTGAGCAAGCTAATTTATGCTTACAATGTATCCTTTATATATATATATATATATATTTTGTAGAGCCATTCATGTTTCACCAATAATCCCTACAAGAACAGGAACCATCTTTGAAATGGTGGAAATGGTTTCGATCTCTCACCGTTTATCTACCTTTTGTAAATCTTTATTGTAGTATGATAGTCTGAGCAAGCTTAAGTATGAGATCTCACATCGGTTGGAGAGGAGAACGAAGTATTCTTTATAAGGGTGTAGAAACCTCTCCCTAGCCGACGCATTTTACTAACCTTGAGGGAAAGCCTAAAAGGAAAAGTCCAAATAGGACAAAATAACCATTCTTCCCCCTACCTTAGATTTCAATAAGCCATCACATAAAGCTAGTTTTTCACTATGTTAAGAAACCGATTCTTCCTTCTTAATATCATCAAAGTTGAGTAAACTTCTGAGATATTTGCAACTTAGCCTGCCAGCTTCAGCTTCTCTCTAACTTGTCTAAGCATCATAAATATTTCAGTTGTTTCTGGGTAAGAACAATCTCCCGCCAGAAATGAATGTGGGGCATTATCGATCGAACTGCAACCAGGTGCTTTTGAACTCCTGTCTGATTCATCAATTCTCTAATCTTTTTTCACTTCATTCCACACTTTCCTTCTTGCATAAATATTGGAGAGCAAAATGTAAACTCCATCATTTGTTGGTTCAAGTTTTAGCAGGCATCTAGCCGCTTCCTCCCCAAGCTCAATATTGTTATATACTCGTTAAGCACCAAGCATAGAGCCCCAGATTGCACCATTTGGTTCTAAAGACATTACTCAGATAAATTCTCGAGCTTCTGCCAAACAACCCTCTCTAGACAAAAAAATCTAGCATGAACCCATAATGCTCTCACGTTGGCTAATTTAGGGAATGGTCATAAGTTTATAAGTAAGGAATACATCTCCATTGGTATGAGGGATTTTGGGGAATCCCAAAGAAAAGCCATGAGAGCCTATGCTCAAAGTGGACAATATCATATCATTGTAGAGATCCGTGATTCCTAACATAATATCAGAGTCATGCCCTAAACTTAGCCATTTCTATAGAATCCTCAAATGTCGAACAAAGAATTGTGAGCCTCGAAGGTGTAGTTAAAAATGACTAAAGTGTCGAACAAGGGGTGTACTTTGTTCGAGGGCTCAAGAGAAGGAGTTGAACCTCGATTAAGGGGAGGCTGTTCGAGAATTTCATAAACCTCAGGGGAGGCTCTATAGTGTACTTTGTTCGAGGGAAGGATTGTTGGGAGGGAGTCCCACATTGGCTAATTTAGGGAATGATCATGAGTTTATAAATAAGGAAATACATCTCCGTTGGTATGAGGCCTTTTGGGGAAGCCTAAAGCAAAGTCATGAGAACTTATGCTCAAAGTGGATAATATCATACCAACCATTGTGGAGATCCGTGATTCCTAACATGATTCATTCCATAAAAAAAGCTCCCTTTCATGTAATTGCTCCCTGCCCTCTTGAACTAACCCTGCGTAGCTGTGCAGGCACTCAGTACCTCTAATCATCTTAAGGCTGTCATTTGCGTTAGATGGAACCGGGTGAGAGCCTCCCTGCCGAGGCCGTGTAGAGCAAGATCAATTATCATAGAATCCATGAAATCAAATCCCTTTTCGACATCCCATCAAAGATTCGGTTGGCAACATCTATTTCTCCGCACTTCGAATGCATGTACAGCTAGAATCGTGACTTCATTCGGGCGCATGTTCAAGCCACCAACCATTTCCCTGATTAACTGCATCGCCTCTATGATTCTATTGTTCTCGACATAACCAAAAATAAAAGCCGACCAAGCATACACGTCTCTTTCAGACAAACGATCAAATACTTGCTTTGTAGTGTTTAGCTCCCAACATTTAGCATACATTAGGGATCACGAACTCCTGTAATGGTATGATATTTTCCACTTTGAACATAAGCTCTCATGACTTTACTTTTGATTTTCCCAAAAAGTCTCATTCCGGTGGAGATGTATTCTTTACTTATAAACTCATGATCTCCTTAATTAGCCGATGTGGGACTACCCACCAACAATCCTCCTCTCAAACAAAGTATACCATAGAGCCTCCCCTGAGGCCTATGAAGCCCTCAAACAACCTCCCATTAATTGAAGCTTGACTCCTTTGGAAACCTCAAACAAAGTATACTTTGTTCGACACTTGAGTCGCTTTTTGACTACACTTTCAAGTCTCACAACTTCTTTGTTTGACATTTTAGGATTCTATTGACATGGCTAAGTGAAGAGCATAACTCTGATAACATGTTAGGAATCACGAACCTTCGTAATGGTATATGATATTGTCCACTTTGAGCATAAGCTCTCATGGCTTTACTTTTAGTTTTCCCAAAGGGTCTTATTCCAATGGAGATTTATTCTTTATTTATAAATTCATGGTCAACCCCTTAATTTGAGGCACTTCCCAAACACATCTCAAATTCTCGTACCCATCTCCGGAATTCGAGAATGCAGCTTCATTCCAACGCCCAAACCTTTCAATTGAGCACAAGCTAGTACGAGTGTTGCCATGGTCATTTCATCGGGGTAAACCCATCTTCCTCCATTTTTCTCGTACAGAAGAAATGCCTCATTAGGACAATGGTTTTTCGTACAACCACTAATCATCGAAGTCCAAACCACTTCGTTTCTATGACCCATTTTCTCAAACAAAACCTTCGCAGAGTTCAAATCCCCACAGGCTGCATACATATTTAACAATGTGGTTTCTATGTACAGGTCGGAATCAAGCATATACTTCCCAACTTTGAGTTCCAATGAAAGGGAACAAACCTTCAGCAGTGAAGGAAATGTGAATCTATCAGCAACATTTCTCGACCATTGAAGCATCTCAAAGTAACTTTGGAGTGCCCTTCTCGGCCTGTTGGAATTCACAAGGCCTCTCAACATGGTGTTCCAAGTAAGTATATCCAACTCTTGAGTGTGTGAAAAAACTGAATAACCATAGGCAAGACCAGGCGAGCCCATTGAGAGGACATGAGCAATGAGCTCGTTAAGTGAATGGCTTATGGTGGATGAAGCCAGTAACTACCATTTGTGCATGAAATTGCTGAAATTTTGTTGATTGTGTCCATTTTGTTGCTTCTTTCTAAGATGGGAAAGATAGGGTATGGTTTTTGGTTGATTTTGAGACTGTTTTGGAGTGGGCTGGTTTGTGTCAAAATTAGTACCAACTTATTGTTAGATGGAATTAGTTAGTTGCTAAGCTATTCACTTAAAAGGTGTATTTCAGGTGAGTTTTTGTAAGAGTTATTTATATGCTTTATTTCAGTTTAAATAGGAACACTCTACTTAGTAAAACACAAGCCACATTAAAACAGTTTATTACAGTTGTCTCTATATTTTTCTCTGAGTAATAATAATTTCATATTTATTTACACCTTAGTGCGTGAGATATTATGACATAACTTTCATTAAGAAAATATTTTATCTAAAAAATTTCCATAACGAATTTTTGTTCTAACAGTGATCCCACTCGATTGGAGAGGGAAACAAAGCACTCCTTATAAGGGTGTGAAAACATTTTCCTAGTATACGCATTTTAAAATCGGGAGGTTGACGACAAAATACATTATGGGCCAAAGTGCACAATATCTACTAGCGGTGGGTTTGAGATTTTACAAATGATATCAGAGCCAGACACTGGACGATGTACTAGATAGGACGCTGGACCCCAAGTAGTAGATGGTGAGATCGTAATAACTTAAATATAACCGGTCCTTTATTTTTCTACCGACACACCCATGAATTACTTCATTAAATTACTTCCAACACTTAGAAGTCTGATGAGTAAAGTGGTTGGGTTGGTGGGATATAATCAAAATGCTGATATGCACTTTGTTCTTGCTTCCAGCAGAAGCACTTTATTTTAAATGATTTGATGAAGTGGGGTTTCACTAAAATGAGTAGAATTGCAAAGAAATATAGATATTAAACCCTTTTTTTTTATCCTTAATACCTTAATGTTTATTAGTATTACGCCCACTTACGTTATTTTAAGTGCCCAAAATTAAAATATTAAACCAATATATATCCTTGATCAGTTCACGTATGTAAATTTAATGGTTATTTTGTTTTTTTTTTTTTAGTTTGTTAAAAATTAAATTTATCTAATAAAATTACTCTAAAGTAAGCATTTTCGAAACCTAGTCCGGCTTAAAAATTAAAAAGGTTATTATAAAAAATGAATTTCAAATTTCAAATTTCAAAAACTAAATAAATAATTAATTAACTCACTGAAATTACCTATTTAGTTTCAAGGTTGGCATTATAATATATTTTAGAAATGTAATAACAGGTTGAATTTTTAAGTCTAATATATATTATTAATCTATACCATTTTGTTAAATTTTAAATTTCATTTATTGGTAGGGTACAAAAAAAAAAAAAAAAAAAAAAA